CTGTTTGTGCATCAAAGACCCTGATATGGTTTGGTTGTGTCCCCACCCAAATCCCATCTTGAATTGTAGCTCCCACAATTCCAGCACGTTAGGGGAGGAACCTAGTGGGAAGTAATTGAATCACAGGGGTGGGTCTTTCTCATGCTGTTCTCATAATAGTGAGTAAAAGTCTCATGTTATCTGGTGGTTTTATATAGAGGAGTTCCCCTGCACAAGCTCTCTTCTTGCCTGCTGTCACGTAAGACATCCCTTGCTCTTTTGCCATGATTGTGAGGGCTCCCCAGCCATCTGGAACTGTAAGTCAATTAAATTTTCCTTTATAAATTCCCCAGTTTTGGGGTATGCCTTTATCAGCAGCATGAAAACAGACTAATAGAGACACTCAGTAATGGCAAACAATGGAATGGGGGAAAATATTTGCAGATGACATATCTGATAAGTAATTAATATCCAAAATAAACAAAGAAATCCAACTCAACAATTCCCATTCCCCTCAAAAACCCAATTCTAAATGGTGAAATGGCTCAAATAGGCATTCTTCACAAAGATAATACAGGTCACCAGGGGCTGGGAGAAGGAAAGAAGTTATTGTTTAATGGATACAGAGTTTCCATTTGAGGTTATGAAAAATTTCTGGAAACGGATAGTGGTGATGATTGCAAAGCACTGTGAATGTACTTAATGCCAATGAACTGTAAATTAAAAAAAAAAATTTAAGACAAGGTCTCACTCTGTTGTCGGGGCTGGAGTGCAGTGGCATGATCTCAGGTTACTGCAACCTCTGCCTCCTGGGCTCAAGCAATCCTCTCACCTAAGCCTCCCAAGTAGCTGTGACTACAGGCATGTGCAACCACACCCATCTAATTTTTTGTATTTTTAGTAGAGACAGGGTTTTGCAATGTTGCCTAGGCTGGTCTTGAACTCCCAAACTCAAGCAACCTGCCCTCCTTGGCTTCCCAAAGTGCTGGGAAGGTGTGAGCCACCATGCCCAGCCCTAAAAATTGTTAAAATGATTAATTTTATGTTATATATATTACATCACAATTTTAAAAATAATAGAAAACAAAACAAAAGCCAAACAAACAAAAGAATAATAAGAAAACAAAACCATATTTTCTACACGTTGACACTGAAAAGTCCTAAAAGCAATCACTAACTTCGTGGCAATGAGCACCCCTAGCATCCAGACTGTGGCTTCTAAATATCATTTCCCACTAAAAGGAATCAGGACTCCTTGTAATGATGGTTGATTTCAGGACCGGCACAGAAAATGAACAGTAGGAGCCAGAAATAGTTTGACCTACCAGAGAGCAAAGAACACTATCAAAGACTATGAAAATTGTGTGAAAAGAATTCAGAAGCTGACCAGAAAAGGCTCCCACTAGCTAAAGAGGGGACAATTTAAGCATCAGCATTTTTTTTTTTGACTTTTATTTTAAGTTCCAGGGAACCTGTGCAGGATGTACAAGTTTGTTACATAGGTAAACGGAGCAACAGTAATATTAATAACCACAGTGGTTTGAAGCAAATGAAATACTTTAAATTTAAAATTTTATAATTATCCTTAAAAAGATGAACAAACAAGAAAAACTATTAGTCACCTTTGGAGAATGCTAGTGGACAACCTCATTATTTGGAACACTGCTAAATAAAAATATAAGGTAAGAAACTTAGGCTGGCGCTGGGCACGGTGGCTCACGCCTGTAATCCCAGCACTCTGGGAGGCCGAGGCAGGTGGATCACGAGGTCAGGAGATCCAGACCATCCTGGTTAACACGGTGAAACCCCGTCTCTACTAAAAAATACAAAAAACTAGCCGGGCGACGTGGCGGGCGCCTGTAGTCCCAGCTACTCGGGAGGCTGAGGCAGGAGAATGGCGTGAACCCGGGAGGCGGAGCTTGTAGTGAGCCGAGATCCGGCCACTGCACTCCAGCCTGGGCAACAGAGCAAGACTCCGTCTCAAAATTAGTGGTGGGCGCCTGTAGTCCCAGCTACTCGGGAGGCTGAGGAAGGAGAATGGCATGAACCCGGGAGGCAGAGCTTGCAGTGAGCCAAGATCGCGCCACTGCACTCCAGCCTGGGCGACAGAGCGAGACTCCATCTTAAAAAAAAAATAGTAAGTTAGGCTGGGCACAGTGGCTCTTGCCTATAATCCCAGCACTGTAAGAGGCCAAAGCAGGCAGATCCCTTGAGACCAGGAGTTCGAGACCAGCCTGGCCAACGTGGCAAAATCCTATCTTTACCAAAAATACAAAAATATAGTCTATGTTTCAGGATAATCAGGATTTAAACTATTCTTTAGGGTAAAACTTGATGAGATAAAGATTATTTCCACAGAAGTATTTCACTTCATCTGTGAAGAAGAAATGAGGGAGAAGGAAGAAAGGAGGGATAGAGAAAGAAAGAACCAAAGAGACAGAGAGAGAGACAGAGAGAAAAAGAGAGAGAGAGAGGATGAAGCTAGTAGAAGAAAATACATAGAACCATATTTTTGTGACTACATTACTTAAACAAGAACCCCAAACCACAAGTCACAGCGGAGATGGATGCTAAATTTGGCTACATTAAAAATAAAGACACTTTCAACAACAGACACCAGGGACACAGTTAAAGATGGAGGGCAGATAGAAGATATTTACACTTGCTCTAAGGTTAAAAGAAAGTAGTGTTCAGAATATTTAAGGAACTTCTGAAAATCTGCCAGAAAAGTGAAACTCAAAGGAAAAATGGTCAATAACAACATAGGCAATTAACAAAAGGGAACCTAAAAGATAACAAGCAAATGAAGCTCAACTTTACTAGATTTTAAAGAAATGCAAATTAAAGCAGATTTGCAAATAGTAGAAGGTTGGTCAATATCAAGTGCTTGTGGGGAATATGGACATCTTCACTCCTAGTAAGAGGCTAACCTGTAATGGCAATTTGGCAGAGTAATCTTGCACTTCAGCACTCACATATGTCCACTGATTTCTATCTGTGTTCATCGATACCTTGTTTGAGATAGCAAGGAATTGGTGACAACCTAGATATCGCTCACTAAGGAATGATAGAAAGTGACAGAATACCATGCAGGTAAAAAAAATGGTCTAAATGTGTATATACCAATGCAGAATGCTTGCACAAACTTAGTGTCATGTGAAAAAGAAAGAAATATAATAACTTTTATAGCTCAATAAAGTTATATATATTAAACACAAGCATACAGACAGTTTCAGTCTACTGTCAAGATACATATACATACACAAGCATATGAACTGTGCAGGCACATTGCTCAGCCTCAGGGTTAAAATTCACACAGTTTTCCATGCAAATGGTGCCCTCTGGGGAAAGATGCCAGAATACAACATGAAAGGTGCCCCCTGAGGGTATGCAATATGGCAGGCTTGACTACTGAAGGTTGTAGATTAATGTCAGAATAGGTGCCTATGATGAGAGCAAGGAGGGAAAAGGGAGTGGGAATGGGAGCTGCCATGTTGTACACTGTGTGCTGCTTACACTCCAGGTATGAGTGTGACTAGTGCAGAGTGTGCAACATGGCAGCCTTGAATATATAAGATGGTTTGGAAGGTTGTAGATTAATGCAGTGGAATAGGTGCCTATCATAAGAGCAAGGAGGGAAATGGGAGTGGGAATGGAGAGGAAGGAGAACATGAAGTAAAGTGAATATAGAAAAGGGTACATGCATAAAAAGGAGGATGATAGTGTGCCCGAAATGAAGAAATAGAATCAACTCAATTCCGTGGTCTTAAGTGGAGGAGGCTGGACCCAAAAGAGGGATCTTGAGCTGGAAAACCAACACCTTCTCAATCCTGCTAAGAAATGTGGATTTTATCTTGAAAGCTATGGGAAATCCTAGAAGTGTCTGAAACAGGAAAGATTTGCATGGGAATGGATGAGAAGGGGAGAGGCTGGGGGACAGCAGGCCTTCAAAGCAACCCATGCAAGGTCTCCATGAGCACAATGGGGTCAATGTGGCCAAAGATGCACTGAGCCAGGTGTGCATACCTAATGCCACACACAAAGATCCTTGGAAAGCCTGGCACTCCCTCCTTCAACTCCTCCCTCATTCTTATGTACCCAGAGGCTCAAACAGAAACAAGGCCTGTTAAAAGTGCTAGGAACAGCTCCCACCAGCACGGCCATGGTTGATATCACCTTCCAGATATGAGTGTGATTAGCACACAGCCGTCTTCCCATTTTCACAATGGAAATTTCACAGATTGTCATAATCAAATCTTCTCTTTTCAAGATATTAAGAACAACCTCAAGCGTGTATCATATGTAGAAAGAAATTCCTAGAAAAATCTAAACTTAATTACAGATTCCTTATAAACAACTTGGTTTATGTGTTTATTTTGATGTAATTTTTGATAGAGGTTGGTATGGAGAAGCACAAAATCAAATATGTTTTATGGTATCACTTTCTAAGAATAGCCTTTTCCGCTAGACTGAAGATGAAAAAGATCATGAATATTTTCTTTTTATAACTCTGATTCAATTTGTTATCTCCTTAGTCCTGCTTATATAGAGTTTCTGTCCCTTCTGTTCTCAGATCATTGACCAATTCTGATATGAGATAAAATTCTATTAATATTACCTTAAGCAAGTACTCAGAGAAGGAAAAAACAAAATGGGAAGGAGAGAAAACACCACACCCTCTTGACTAACACTTCTGACCCACCGGCCCACCCTTGCTGTTGTAAGAACATTTTAAGTCAGTGATTGTCAGCTTTGGCTTCCTGAGGCAACAAAGAATTAATTAGTAAATTTTGATTAAAATATTTTCCTAACAAAATATAATACCTAATGAAAGTTAAGCGGTAGTGAAACCGGCATGCTCATGCATAGCTGATTGTAATTAGAACAAATCTTTTGAAAAGCAATTTGGCAGTATCAAGCCTCTAAATGTGTGTACTCTGACCTGGGAATTCTCTTTCTGGAAACCTATCTTATTGTGGGGAGGGTGGGAATCTAATTAGGTAAACAGATACATGCACAAAGAAACTTATTATGGTGTTATTTTATAACAATAAAAAAAAGTATGAGAAACAAACTGATAACATGCCCAGTTCTGTAAACTATGGTATATCCACCAATTTGGGTGGATCTGTTTATAGGGAGTCTGTCAAAACCTGAGTATAAACATGTATATACAATCTTATCAAAATTATATATTTTTAAATACAGAAGCAAATATGAAATCTGCACAATTCAAAAGGTTTGGAAGTAAATATACTAATCTTGGTAGTGACAGGTTTTTGGTACAGAGATTTAGAGTGACTTTTCTTGCCTTTTTATTTATGTTATTTTCAGGTTCATCATAAGGACTATAGTGTACACAACTTTTCTAATCAGAAAAAAATAAACACACTTTATAAGGAAATAAACAAACAGAGAGATGCCATATGGAATCTTTTGGTTTGAGAGATGGCTGAGACTGGGATAACTCAGATCAAAAATACAATAAATTATCTCAATTCCAAAAAAAAAAAAAGGTGGGGCTGGCTGGTAAGGGACCTACATTTCATACCCTTCTTAAGTTTGCTGGTTTCTGCCCAGGATTTCCATTAGGACTGGAGAATAGGAGCTGAGTTAATTTTCCCAGGGGCCCTGAAATCCTGATATTGGTACATTCCCTGTCATGCATTTACTCTCCTTCTTAGGGCCATGGTGACCATAAATGTGAATGAAAATTTAAAGTATTTAGCATTTATTAAGCACTTCCTATGCACAGGCACTGTTTTGGTGCTTTTTATAACTGTATTTCACCTTTCTCAGGCTTACAAAAGCTCTTAGTAAAAAGAACCATTGTCTCCTTCCTCCTCACTCCCCCACGCCAGCGTGTTCTACACACTCCTTTCTTCTACTCACCAAGAGAGCCTTTTAGGAATATAATTGATCTGGATAAGAGAAAAAAAATGGGCCAACTAGGCTGCCATTTGTTATCAATAAAGCCTCACAGCTGTCTGAACAGCTGACTAAAGAAGCACCTTCAAATGGTCAAGACAGGGAAGGTTCTAGAAATAGGGCACCAGAAAATCCCACAGGCCTTCTCCTTGTGATGTGGCTTGTTTGCTTTACAGGTGTCAAGCATATTTGCTGACGTCAGCAGCCCATCAAAGTTTAAAATAATAATAGTGAAAAGGAAAACAGCCCCTTTCTGCCAGGCAGTCCTGTTCTGCCAACTTCTGCGTTCTTTTTGAGTTAATAAACGTCCAAGAATCACCTCTCCTACCACCCTGAGTGGGAAAAACAGCACAATAATTTTAAAACCACCAGGTCAGCCCATTGTCAGCATAAACCATTCAGACAAGTAGCATTTTGTCACACTCTAATGAGGATTTTACCTTTGCCTCAAAACGAAAGCTATCATTAGGTTTCGTGTTTATGGGATCAAATGATTGTCTGGGGATGGTGGGTTTCTTTCAGTCCCTTCCTCATTTTAATCACGTTCAAGACCAAATGCATAGACATTTCCTGCATCAGATCAAACTAAAAAACCATAGCTATGCCAGCTAATGTCTTTTGAAAACATCAATTAAGAAAATGGCCTTTAAATTCCCATTTTTACTTGAAAATCTGCGAACAGGTACACAAGTTTTAATACCAGGGCAGTGGTGGTGGCAGTGAGGGGCGGGTGGGGGGTGCTGTCTCTAAAAAGGAGACAGCACAAACAGTGGTTTGAGGAGGTCAGAAGGGCAGGCTCCCATTGGCAACAAGCAGATAGAGAATCTCTGCAAGGGAAGGAACTTCTGTATAAAGCAAAGGCCTCTTAAGTTATCTTCACATGTAGTGTTGAAACTGGAGCCAGCCCCTCAAGAGTAGGTTGATAAGAGGTTTCTGCACCATGCTGGTACCACACACAGGACCCATTGTTAATACCTCCTGAGGACAGATTAGATCCCACATTCCTCAGAAGTACTGAGCTGCAGAGGGAAATCGGCCAGCAGGCTCCTTCCGCAGGGCCAACCACTAGCTACAACTGATAAGTTTTAATTGAAATAACTGGAACAATTACATGGAGTCCCCACCACTTCTGTCGCCAGCTACTGAGATGGTGGTGTACTTGCATCTCCTGGCATGTGCATAGGCATAGGCGTGTGCCAGAAAAGAGTAATTCAAGTTCTTAACTCATTTTTTATCTTTTTTTCCATGGCTATGTGCCATCGTTAATCAAATTGTTCACCCAAGGAGTACTATGAGATTGTTTTGTTTTATTTTTTCTTTTCTGGCCTTATCTAGGAAACCCTGATATTTACTCTATCTGAGTTTGAACAAGTAACTAATTAATCTCTGACAAAAGATACTGAAGTTAGACAAGTTTGGGTAAAATCCGTTGAGGTCATGGTTGGTTTTAATCACATAGCTCAATTTAAAAGCTGAACACTAACATACCTTTGCTTTCAAAGAGTGCTTGTTAAACAGCAAGTTTTGTTGTGCGTAACTTGAATTCTGCCACTTCCTTTTATTTTTTTCTGAAATAACAGTGATTGAGTCAATGAAGTGGCAATATGAATTAAAGGACAACACACCTGCCTTTGCAGGGACAGACCCCAAAGGGCCCAGATTAAATTTTAACCAGGATTATGTTTGCCAGGATTTTATATCTCAAATGATTATGTTTGGCTTTTGTAATAATAAAAGGTTATTTTGGGAAAAGAATTCCCTTTTAACATCTACTCTGTTTACTAGGAGGAAATACAGAGTTAGACTTCGATACAGTTTAGCCTTTGAAAGAAAATAAAAGACAAATGATTTAGCAGATGGGTAATTCCCAAATCTGCAGAAATGTAAACAGCCAGGATTTTGGTGCCTATGGGTTTTATCAAAGATGTAAGAAAGGCTGAGACCGACACCAGTGTGTCCTCTTTGGCTAGTTTTAACACGTTTACAGTCACAATTAACATTCAAGGAATTTCCTTTTCATCCAAGTGTTTCTTTTAAAAGCACTTCATACCACACACTAAAGTTCTAGCTGCCATCAGTCCTTCCCATACAGAAGAGTAGTGAAATCTCCATAATACTTCCTTACTTTGAAAATGGGCTCGGACCACGTCAATTTCCTTGGGGTGTTTGTTTTCCAATATAGGTGGTTCTCGCCTCCTCCCTCCTTCCCTCTCTTTAAAGAACTTGTACTGGGGACCCTACTTCTTCGTCCCCCACCCTCCTCCGCACTCACCCCGGAGCCAGATGAGCGCGAGGCTGGGCAGGCGTCCTAAGCCCTCCCCCGGCCCAACAGCCTGGTTTCAAGTCCCTGAGCCGGCCGGCCCACTGCATTCTGCAAGAAAAAAGAGATCCCTGTTTCCCCCTCTCCCCCGCTACCCCTAGACAAGGGATTCGCACATAGGCACGGAGTCCGAGTCTTGGCTATGCATAGAGCTCAGCCCCGTATCCGAGTCTTCGTCGTTGCCAGGACCGCTCTTGGCCAGTCCACGGGCCTGGTCCACCCACATGTCGGCGCAGGCTTGAGGCCCGGGTTCCCGCGAGGGACCGCCGGAGCCAGGAGCCCCATCCGGCGCCACTGTCAGCTCCAAAGTGTGCAAAGTTTGCAGAAGGCCCTGTAGCTCGCGCTCCTTGCTGTCCCATTGCTGCTGGCTGTAATCCAAGTCCGACTTGACGGCCTCCAGGTCCGTGTTGAGCCGGAGCCCGATGTAAAGGCTAGTACTGAGCTGCGTCCTGACCCGTTCCTGCTCCAGCAGCAGCTCGCCCTCGGGGCCGCCATCGGGCTCCGGGGGCTCCTCCCGCGCCACCAGCTCCTCCTGGCGCCGCCGCATCCACCTCTGGTTGAGTTCCTCCTGAATCTCGGCTGAAAGGCGCTCCAGCAACTCCTCCTGCTGAACCCGTTGCTCCTGAAGCCTCAGTAAGTCGTCGCAGCGCCGGGCCAGCTCCTCCAGCGCCGCCGCCTGCGCCTCGCCGTCTAGAGGGGGCGGCGCCGCCGCCGCCGCCGCCTCTGCCTCCGCCGCCACCTCTTCTGGCTCCTCTCCTGGGCTGGACCCGTCGAGCTCGATGCCTGCCCCAACCAAGTAAGTGTCCTGCACGTAGTTGACCCCGTGACGCCGCATGCGGTCCAGGTGCACCTTGGCCTCGTAGCGGTCGATCTCGCGGTCCAGCTCGTGGAGCCGCTGCACCTGCTGGCGAATGGTGTGGTCCTGGGAGAGCACCAGATGCACCAGCGTCTCCATGCGCTCCACCGACGCGCTCTCGTGGGCCCGCGGCGACGAAGAGCAGGACGAGGCAGTGGACGACGAAGTGGACGAACAGGACGACGGAGGCTGCTGCTGGCGCCGCCGGTTAAGCTTGGCCAGTTTGCGAAAGGCCTTGCGCACCACTCGCCGCTGTTTCTCCTGGGTCATGGCCAGGCTGGGCCGCGCGGGGGCCCCGCGGGCCGGACAGGGGCGCTCTCGGCTGAGCACTACGCGCGCCTCGGCGCTGCGGGGGCCGGCGTTAGGCAGCGATGCCTCGCTGCGCACTAGCACGAAGCGCACATTCTCTTGCTCTTCGCCCCAGGCAGCCCAGAGGCGCAAGATGCGAGTCTTGTTAGGGAGGATGCGCTCAAAGCCGCGCCACTTCTCCACGATGCAATAGCACTGCGGGGGCCCACACAGCATGCCCTGCGGCAGCGCCTCGTCGTCCTCGTCGTCCTCGTCTGGAGGTTCGGGAAGCTCTCCCGGGCCAGGCGGGTCGCCGGCCGACCCCCGCCGCCGGCTCCGCCGCTGTCTCCGTCGCCGCCGGCAGCCGTCCTCCAAAAGCACTCGCACAACGTCCGAGCAAGTAGTACGGCGGGAGAGACCGGACACCAGCTTCTCTTCCTGGCAGATCCACACCGATATCTTCTTTTCCGAAGGATCCATGGCGCAACCAGGACGCAGGTGGCAGGTCCGGCCGGGCTCTGCTGGGGCAGAAAGGACAGCAAGGGCAGCCCAGTAGCTCTGGGATGGGAGAGGAGCCCGTGCCCCCTCCTGCGGCTGCACTAGCCCTGCTTCCCCACTGCGCACCGAAGGCAGGCTGGAAAGCGACTGCGGCTGTGGTAGCGGTTGCAGCTGCGCTCTGCCCGGACGACGGGCGCTCCCGGGGCAACGCGCCCGGGACCGGCTCCCGCCGCTCTGGCTCTACCCAAGGTGCCCGGGACCTCCGGGTTTTGCTCCTCCCCACGTGGCTCCACCCCTTCCCGCCCCCAGCGCCCAGAGCTGTGGCTGGAAGTACAGGAGGCTCAGGGCCCAGGCCCGCCCCTTGCAGCCTTGCCGCGCGGCGTGCGCCCCGTCCGCCCCTCGCTAGCGTTGCGGGCATCCTGAGTCTGGGCCTTTTTCGCCAAATCGCTGCTCTGCCGCGCGCCTACGCAAGGGAAGATTCAAGGGCCCCTCCACTTCAGGGAGTGGAGCCCGCGCCTTGGCACGGATCAGCTGTGCATCTCCCTTGGCCTACTGGCTCTTCTCCTTGTGTCTATAGCTAGCCGGACGCATCTTGACTTTTATCTTCTCATCTTTCCTGGCGCCTCCAGACGCATTTCCTGGTCCCTCAAGGCAGCGGTGCCTGGGGAGTGCACTTTGCACAGACAGGGAAACCGAGGCACTCAGCGGTCTCCAATGGAGACGCTCTAATCACATTCCACGTCCAGCTAGCGCTATGAAGAGCTGCCTCTAACGCGGAAGGCCTCCCAGTCTTCCTCGACAGGAAGCAGTATTTGCATATCTAAGGAGAACAAGATTCAGCAATGTGCTCCGGGAGCAAGTGCAGGCATGGAACGGTCTGGGCTGGAGGGGGACAGACGTTCAGAGGCGGCTGCCGGTTTTCTGTAGTGTCACGTAAGTGGGTCTCCACGTCATCTTCACCTCAGCTTCCCACAGCCTTCTTGGGAGAGGGGCTTCTCATTCTAGTGGGAGTTCAGGGCCCAGACCCGAGTCACAAGCTATTTTTATGCTTTCCACATCCATAAGGGGAAACCGTGAAGGCTTCTGGCATTTTCTAATATTCAGACGTGGTCCAGAAGAGATAACGGCCAAGCTTTACAGCGCAAGAAACCCAAGGCCACAATGCAAGTGAACTTGTTTCATCCTTAACTGCTGATGAGGATAGTCTATTGCGTGCAAGCCTCGCACTTAGCTTGTCCTTGTGAGCACAGGTCTAATAATAAGCTCACTCCCTTTCTTCAAGACCTTGGATGGCTCCCCATTGCCTCTTGGCTAAAGCACTTTTGTTCATTCAATGATTCACTCAGCAAATATTTATTGAGTACCTACTGTGCTCCAGGTCCTATCGCTAGGGCTTTGACAATGAATGAATCGCCAGTTCTGGCTTGCAAGGAGTTCACAATTTAGTGGGAGAGCACAGCCAAGTAAACATTTCCAACCCAATGTCTTGTGTCCTCTGATAAGGGAGAGCATGAGGTTTTGGGGGAACCTGGAGTGGCATCCAACCCATCTTGGAGGGGCAAGGAAGGCTTTCCCCCAGAGGAGGTGTCTTAAGCAAGGCCCAAAGGACCATTAGAGTCTGCCAAAAGGAAAGTAGATGGAGGGGAGAGACAAGCAGTATTCTAGAAGGAATTGTAGTGCAGTCAGGAATCAAGAGCGTGTTAGTTACTGGGGCTGTCAGGAATTTGAGAGGAGTGTCTAAAATTGAGGTTGAATGATTGAACAGGAACAGGATCAGGAAGGGCCTTTAATTCCATGCTTATGTATTTGGATTTGTCATTAAGACAGTGAGAACCCATAGGGTGCAAATCTGGAGTCAGAACAGTCAAGTAAAAATCTCAGCAGCACTTACTAGCTCTATAACCTTAGGAAAAGTATTAATCTCTCTGAGCTTCAGTTTTCTTATCTGTGAAATGTTGATAATAAAAAAATACCTCCCTAATAGAACTGGTGTAAGGATTAACTGCCTGGGCCTGGTAAATCCCCAATAGTTTTATTGGGGGGTTGGAAAGCTGGGACGTATATTAGTTTTCTATTGCTGTGTAACAAATTATCACAAACTTAGTGACTTAAAACAACACCCATCTATTACTCTACTGTTCTGTAGATCACAAGTCCAAGTTGGCATGGCTGCTGCATACTTTGCTCAGGATGTCCCAGGCAAAAGGCAAGGTATAGGCTGGTTCAAGTTCCTGTCTGAAGGCTCTGGGGGAATACCCACTTCCAAATCCATTCAGGTTGTTTGCATGATCTGGTTCCTCTCAGTTGTAGGTCTGAGGTCCCCATTCTCCTGTTGGCTGTCCTCCAGGGTCACTCTCAGCTCCTACAGGACTCTCTCAGATCCTTTCTATAGGATATCCACCCCCCTCCCTGCAACTTAAAAGTCAGCAACCACATGTCAAATCCATCCAGTCCTCCTTTGCTTTTAATCAATCTACCATCCTCTTCTGCCACTAGCTAGAGAAAACTCTCTGCTTTTAAAGTGCTTGATTAGTCAAACCCACCTGGATAATTTCTCTGTCTTAAGGTTGACTGATTAATAACCTTAACTATATCTGAAAAACCCCTTTTGCTGTGTACTGTAATATAATCACCAAAGTCGCCCCCAGGGAGATGGAGATTATGGGGCTGTCTTAGAATTCTGCCTACCATAGGGCATAACATGAACAGATTTTGATTTTTTAAAGATCAGTCTGTTTGCATTGAGGACAATGGGTGGGGGTGGGGGGTGAGAGGCAAGAAAGCCTTTTAGAAGACTATCACATTCATTCGAGGAAGAGATGATGACCTATGCTGAGAATAGTGGGGGTGAGAAGACTGGACACAATTGACAGCTATCAAGGAGGTGGGAGAGGCAGGATGTGGTGATAGATTGACGAAGGATTTCTTTCTCCCTAGAATGGCGTCAAAGGTCTCTTGCAATCTGGACCAGCCCACTTCTCCAACTTCTCACTTACATGTGGGCTATCCCTTCTTCCTTTCCTCTCACATAGGATTGCTAGCTTTGTAGTCAACTGCCATCCCTGCTGGATTCTAAGCTCCACAAGGGTAGGGATCATATATCTGTTTTGCTCACTTTTGAATCCTTTACATTTAGTGCAATCCCTACCACATTCTAGGTTTACTCAGTAGCTGTCGAATACATTGATGAATCAATGAAGGAATCCTACATTTTAGCAAGCCAACACCTCATCCATCCAGAAGAACTCCTGCATCTTATGTATCCACACTTTTGTACATGCTTTTCCCACAATTAAGATTCCTCTTAAACAACTGGAGAACTTCTACTCACTCTTCAGAAGCTCAGATACAGGTCACCTGCTCTGGGAGTCCTTTCTTTCCTCCTCCAGAAAGAACTGTTTCCCCGCTCTTCTTCTGCGTCTATTAATGCAGAGATTACATTGTGCTGTGATGCGTTTTTTATGTCTGTTTACTCCCACAAGAATAGAGCTTTTCAAAAGAAAAAAGATTGTCCTATTTACAGTTTAGTCCTTAGTGCCTAGGGTGCCTGGCACATGGCAGGTTCTCCATCTTCTCCTATGTTTTAAGGAACACCCAGATAAATAATGTCTAAGATATTGTGCTACCCTCAAGATAACTTCTTTCTAGAAGCAGACAAATACATGGAATCCCTGTTGTAGTAATGATATATATGAAATTTGTGTCGGACTAATTAAAGGATAGAGTGATTGTATGGGTGCTAGGAAGGATGCAGAAGGCAGGCTTCAACAAATGCGGAGGAGGGGTTGAGAGCATTCTTGGTGGGAGAAGATACATTAGTTATAATGCTAAAATGAGTATGCATGTGGTCATGTACCAGTGTTTCAGAGTGTGTGTTTTGGAGTTACCCTGCCTCATTTCAAATACCAGCTATAAGCTTTCCAACCCTCAGTCTTCTCACCAGGAACAAAGTATAATAGTGGAACCTTCCTTATAGAGTTGTCATTACATGAAATGAAATAATGCACAATATATAAAAGATCTAGCACAGTGTCTGGCACATAAAACATGCTCAATAAAACCCAGCTAGCATTGTCAAGAAATTGTATTAAGTACCTACTGCATGCTATGTCCTGGGCTATGTGTTAAGGATCCGTGAAATAACTGGACAGACATGGTCCCTGACCTTAGAGATGTCACAGCCAGGATTAGTGTGGTTTAGCAATGGATTTCTTAAGTTAGGCTAGGCTGTAGTAACAAACAGGGCCAAATGTGTATAGTGGCTCAAAAGTAACAAAGGTTTATTTTTCACTCAGATAATAGTCAAAAGAAGATGTCCTGGTTGGGAGGTGACCTTATTCCAGATAAAGATACAGAAACCCTGGTTCCTTCCATCTCGTGACTCCAAAATCCTCTAGACTTCATCATCATGTACATAGAGCCAGAGGAAGAGGAGAGAGTATGGAGGGTCACACCCTCTTCTTCAAGGCGTTGGCTGGAAATTGAGCTCATACCCCTTTGACTAGAACCCAGTCATGGCCACTGGTAATGGCAAGGAAGCTAGAAACTGCAATGAGTGCCTCAGAAGAGGAAATGGGTTATCATGAACAGCTAGCTGCCTACCATAAAAATATTTATTTGAAAAGTAAGACAAGAGGCATAGAAAGAAGTTCCAAAAGTATAGGAATTGCAAACTGGTGGCCTACCAGCCAAATCTTGCTGCCTTAGACAGAATATACTCTGTTTAGCCACAAAAACAAGACTCTATTTAACATATGTCCCAATTCACATATATTCATGACTCGCCTGAGTCCTGTAATCATTTGAGTTGTGACTCTTGCTTCCATACATCCTCCCAGGGTTATCTCATTCACTCCCAGGAATTTTATACAATTGATATGCCATGGCTCCCACATCTATTCCAGAATTCTCCAAATATGCATATCCAACAGCTTGCTGGGTAGTTCCACTTGAGTATCCGCCAAACATCCAAACCTTTGCCAAATAGATAAAGTTGAACCAATCATTTCTCCCCAAGCCTGTTCTGCCTCTTGGAATGTCTGTTTCAGAAAATGGTCCCATCATTCACCAAGCAAGACCTGAAACTTGAGGATCACCCTTGTTCATCACCATCCACCTCCTTTCCCCACAGGATGTTGAAGTTCTGTGAGGGCAGAGGGTTTTGCGTGCTTTTTTTCCTACTTAACCTCCAGTACCTGAGACATCAATTCTCACACAGTAGACAATAAGTATTCGTAGAGTGAATTAATTAAGGCATGCATTG